GCACCACCAGAAATACGTATCTAATTGCATACAGCCGCCAGTCCCCAGCAAGTGCCCGCCGCGCATCACACCCAGAAGCGTCAGGGATCGCAGCTTTAAGATACGGTGTTATATGAGCTTTAAGATACTGATGTTAAAGTAATAAAGCATCCAAACCAAGGATCCAAATCAAGGATCCGAGCGTTTACATTTCGATCCCAAACTGCCCGCCCTGGTCGCATCAGCAGGTTCCGAGGGGTAAAAGAGGGTTTCCCAAGCTTGTGGAGAAAACCAGTCAACTACACATTGAAACAGAATTTAATTATTAAAACCTCCCGATTTTACGCTAGCGACCAGCCTGAGAGCAAAACCTGCCTGTCAGCCAGGTGAGGGTTTTCCTGGATAAAACTTAAGGCTTTTTTTAAAGCTAAAGTAGTTGTTTCAAGCCACCTCTACCAGAACAAGACACCTGCACCTCGTGCCTAAACTTTGGCTCTGCGAAGCGGGATTAATGAGCCTTTCCCCCAGATGATCTCAGCCGTCTAGAACAAATTATGCAGATTAGGTACTGCCCAGGTTTTAATAAACTACCCCTAAAAATCTCCAGGCGCGAGTGAAATTGAATAGCGGGAGAGTAGCGCAAAGAGAGCAAGATGAGGAATGGCAACGGATTGTGCCGAAATGGGGACTACTGGGGGAAGAGCAGCTCTCGAAGACTCGACTTCGGGGTGAACCCCAGCTGATTCTGCAACAAGAAACAGGGGTAAGCTAATGAAACATGCAAATAACGAGCTGGAGGGTGGGGAAGCGCCGTCAGCAGAAAGGCGGATCAGAATATTAAATGTGACCTGAATGACCAAGCAAGATCCAACGACACCAAGCGAACTCGCACACGTTATTTAAAAAAAAAACCCGCAACAACCACCAAAATCTGCTGCGTGCAGAGAGCTCGATCGGAAAGAGGACGACGTAAGCGCGGAATTACAAATAACTCCGAAACAGGCAGCACGGCTTTAAAAACGAGAAACACGGCACTGAATCCTCAGCAGAGAGAGAAGGGCAGTAGTAAATGCCACAGTAGAAGGCGCTGCCGAGAGCTAATCTGGAATATTGCACGCCACGATGAACCCACGCTCACGAAAGATTAATTGAAACCAAAGTGCAAAGGAGGGCTAAGAGTAGAGACAGCAGAGGGGATGACCTACATTACCAGAAACTAAAAGCCCGGTTGGCTCAGCGTGCAAAAACAGGCTGGTAAAAAGCAGGGCTCTCTAAATCCACTGAGGGGTCAGCATCAGGGAGAAACTAAATTTAATTAAGCAATTAAACAACACTAATGCAAGAAACACCGGCGAGAAACTGATCATAAGCAGTTTTTAGCTGGAAACCGGGTTTCTACACATCAGAGCAAAGACGCTCTGGAATAACCTTCACAGCAAATTCAGCCAGAACCCAAACGGCCTCTTAAACGGCGCTTGAGGGGACCAAGAGGTGTCGCTGCCTTTAATATCAGGGTCAGGCTCCAATCTGAGATTTCCTTCTAGTCTCACATTCCCTACGACGTTATCACCTATCAGAAAAGCACCCGGTGAGCCAAGTCCTCCAACTCCTGCCGTAACGCAACGGGAGAGCTAACCTACCTTTAATTCTCCACTGCAACTTTCTTAATGGATTAAAAATTATTCACGGACGACGCACCCCTCCAGCTCGCTCGACCCTCTCCTCCCTTATTATCGGAGAAGGGCCGTCAAATGGAATATTTGACATCAGTCAAGTTCCCCTACCGAAAACATTTCTCTCTAGTATCGTCCCCTCTCCCGTGGGAACAAAGAGCTCCCTGATCAAATTTCCTTCTCAGATTTTTGCTGCATGAAGCATTAACACCAGAGCTGGATTCGGAGGGAGGCCTCAGACGCGACCCATGACCAAACAAAACGTGAAAACGTGTGGTACTGTGCCCGTCAAACAAATTCCTCCCCAGAGACCTACTTAGGCAGTCCTACGCGATAATTACATTCGCCAGGTACAGTACACCCGTTCAGAGAAGTTCATTGACGCCTGACTGTCAGGAGCCGTAGCGGAGCTAAGCCGTGCCTCCTCCCAGGAAGTTCCAGCTGTTCTAGGAACTTAACTTACAGTCATTTTCAAGAAGCCACCATGAAATAATTAATCATAAGCTGATGTTCCCCATGACCTTCCCAGGAATAGCGTTTATCGGGGACAAACGTGGACAGAAAGGTGGTTAGGGGTTGGTGGGTTTTTTTTTGACAGCGGTATTCCCATCGTAGGAATTAATTCCCTAATGGCCTTTACGGAGAACACAAGCAGGGCATTTACACGAAGTAAGTTTTAATCACGCCTCTTTCCTCTTCAGGCACCACAGAGAGATTACGAAACACGGGAGTTATCTGAGAGCGCGAAGGCTCTGAAGCTGTCAAGCTTCATCTCATTCTTTCGAGCTACGGAAAGTTTAAGCTGTTTCTTTCCGTCACCTTACCAGGTAGCAAAGAACTGCGGCATCCCAAAGAAAAGCACCCCAACAAAGTAAGAATGGTGACAATCGTTGAGTCCAAATAATGTTATTCAGGCTTCTAAAGATAACCAGTTTACAGAACACCTACGTATCAAAAAGCCTACCCGGTCACAAGCTCCTGAAATACCTCTTTAGAGATAATAAGACGACTCTCCCTTCTAAAAACGTACGTGATTCCCTCCTACAAAGATCCAAGTTCGCCAGTGCCTGCTTAAAACACGCCAGCATCGTGCCTCATTTAACCTCTGACCTGCAGAAAGCTCCGCGCTGGCCTTTTGATGACCACCACTCCGAGAGATGGGTCTACCACGGTTTTATTCTTAAAAAAAAAAAAAAGAAAGGAAAGAAAGAGGAGAGAGAGAGACAGACAGAGAATTTGCAGCTCGGCTGAAATATTTCAATCTATTTATCTTTACACCAGTCTCGACTCCCTTGGCACGGATCTCCGCACTAGGCGTGCATCCCGCTTTATCGCCCCCGGTCACACTTTCTCAGCCGCCCTAACCCGAAGGAGACAATTCCCCAAGAAAACTCCCATCTGTGTTAATTTAACCTCCCCTTCCAAAAGGCGGTGAGCAGATACCACCTGCTGGTCGCCGCCTCGGTGCTTCAAGTTATTCAGCAAAGATATTTCCCCTCCCAGGGCTTCCAAACAAGAAAGCCCTCAAGTTTATCGTTGGTTAGGATCAAGGCAATAGCCAAAACACCCTCCCTATCTTCCCTCCCTCGTTGCTGAAGCCGTAAAAGATACGAGAGTCCCAGTACCGCGGTACGTAGCTGCGCGCCCGCAGCGCGTCGGCTAGCCTTTGCAACCTCACTGCCAGAAAAGACAAAGCTGCCCACGGGCCTCAGTTTCACCACCGGTTAATCAGCGGGACTGATGTAAACCTCACCCCAAGCCCCCAGATGCCTTATCCTAAGAGGTCAGAGCCAGTAGTAACAGCTGGACCTTGAGCTTGCTTCCGTACGATCAAAAAAAACCTCGATTGAAGAAACGCGCGACATCAATTCGATTCTACCGCAGGGGGGGGGGGGGAAGGAAAAAAAAATATCTAGGCTGCAAAGATTACCACCGCCTACTGCGGAAGGCACGCAGCGCCCTCGCTCCCAGACCAGATCACAAGCCAGAACACTCGGGGAAAAACCCGAGCCGATCAGGTCATCCGTACAGCCTCGTGCGAGGTCGATTGCCTCCGACAAGCAACTTGATCTCAAGCAGAGGTTAATTAGAACTTACTCTAAGTTGCTATTAGGGCAAGGAGTCAAGTGACATTAAATAAAAAGAAATGTTTAAAGAACATTTGTTTTAGCTTTAAATAATTTTATTTTTAATATAAAAATACACATTTACAAAGAAAATACAAACAAACCTCTGAAATAACATTACAAAAAAAAAACACAAAGGGGAAGACACACGGGCTGGGACCTATCTTTACGTCATTTAATCACACAGCAAAATTGTTCCTCCAAGCGGCTGGGCCACACGAAAGTCCACGTTCAAACCACTTGGCTTAAAAAAAAAACCTTTGCTTTAGCAAGTTCACAACACACTGAACCACTCATCTCGGGGTCCAATTCTAGCCTTAAAATGACTTTTCCCCTTCAACAGCATCATATTCTCTCTCTCTCTCCTGCATTTACTTGCCATTTATAAGCTCCAGTGCCTCATCTTTGGTCCGTGTGATCTTTTCCTGCCTCCACGACGAGGGTCTTCTGGACTGGTTGTGTTTCACCAAGAGATGCGAACATCGCACTTTGCTAGGCTCCCCTTGGCCGTTCTTCCCGCTGCCGCTGGGCCGTTCCCACTGGCTGGCATTTGTGATGTGGTTGAAGTAATAAACACGGCCTGCGGACAGAGAGAGGGGGCTGGGGTTAAGAAAAAAGAAAAAAGCTCCCGGCAGACCCCGAGAATCAGCTTCTTGACCCCGAGAATCAGCTTCTGACCCCAAGAATCAGCTTCTGACCCCAAGAATCAGCTTCTGACCCCAAGAATCAGCTGCTTGACCCCGAAGGCACGGAAGACTAGATTTCTGTGAGTGCTCGGCCACATCCACGCGATCAGCTGAAACACACGAGGTAGGAAACAAGACTTTACAACTCCACATAATTTCCTACGCAAGCGTCCGCAGCCCCCCCTCGAGCACACCACCCCCCCCCCCCCCCCCCCCCCGCAGGAGCAGGCTCCAGCTGCCTTTCCAATTCACCACGCTCGCACACATCAGCGACAAAACGCCCACTGACACAGTCGGAAACCATAAACACCCCCAGGCAACACCCTGCCGCTGCCGAGAAGGCGGACGGTGCCGGGTTTCTGGCCCGGGGATAAGACCGTGTTTCACTCCAGCCCTATTTACAAGGGTAAAACAGCGCAACGCCTCTCTGTTAAGCACATCCCGCAGCAAACGCGGTGAGTTACTGTTAGCAAAGATCACACCTTTGCATTGCACAGACCTCTCCTTCCGAAAATCGCCTTTTTTTCTACCAGAAAATGAGACCTTCCTGCACAAGAGATCCGTGGTTTCCCCAGCTAGCAGAAAACGAAGCTCCTGCGAAGTCACCTCTCGACACATTCAGCATCAAAGCCAGGCAATTCTGCTGCTCAAAGGCCTTCCAGTGCTCAAAGCCACGCGTGCCTTTACCTGCGGTAACTCACAGCCTCGACCGAGACGGTTTCTGCTTTCTTCTAGCGCATCACTCATCCCAAAGCTCTCCACTGACGCTAGAAGCGGACTAGACTCGAGAAAAAAGCCAAGCAAACCAAGGTGAGGGATTGCAACAGCAGAGCTGGGCGGCGGGAAGGTACGACCTAGCAGCAAAGGGCCCAAGTTCCCGGCTGCAATCCCAACCAACAGCCTAGGCCTGCTAACTCCAGCCAGCCACGGAGTTCCCTCCCTCCAGGACGCTTCAACCCCGGTAGTTCTGGCAAAGAAGGGTTCAGAGGGGGGTTCAGAGGGGCCCCTCTTCCCTCTCAGCCTCCCCGGCCTCACGGTCCCCACCTCAACCAAACGAGCAGAGCAGCCAAGCTGACGGACACGACCTCCTCGGAACTGCTTCTGAGCCGCCAAGCGCGGAAAGCTCTCGCCGCAAAGGACGGAACCCTGCTGAAAGCACCGTCCCG